TGGGACTTGAACCTCGTACGACTACATGGGGGTCCAGCAACATAGTCATTATGCCAACTGCTGGTTCCGATAGTTTCAGATTTTGTACAAATGTAAACAACCTCGGAGAATCAGGTTAGTTAGTGGTTGTTCATTACTCCCAATTCTGTAAAGATTATTTAAAACAAAACAGTAAACTCCTGTCTATCCTACCAGGTGTGAAAACAGAAACACCAAAGTAAGTGTGTGAATATTGTATTGTCAAGGGGTTACGTCAGTGAGTACAAGCAAAACAGCTTGTACTCAGTGGTTGTGGGAATTCTGTGAAATGAGAGACCAATACAGGAGAGAGGCTACGTGAGGAAGATTTTTTTGGCACCTGAGTTTTAAGAAGTTGAGCTTGAAAATATAGAAGCTCTTAGAAGTGCAAAACATGGAGGTGAAAGGAAAATCTAAGAAAGGGTGGAATTGGAATAAACAGATGTCCATTTCTGGTTCCTGATCTGAGTGTCATACAGTTTGGATGAGTAGTACAGATGGAAAGTGTAGCTGGAGGGTGTGAGATGTTACAGAGAAATAAGCTATCTATTCCTTGAAGTGGAGGGGAAATCATAGTAGAGATAGCAATACTTGTCCCTTAGATTTAAGGAGTTACAGTCCCAAGCTCTATAGAGCAGAAAGACCCTAGTTATTTTGTAGTTCCATGGTCACTCCACAGAAAAAAACATTTCTATAGAGATGTTTATATTTTGACTTTTTAATGGAATATTTAATTTATCCTTTTGACATTTAGACTAGTCAATATGTTTATGTTCATAACTTAAACAAGGAGAAAAGTACCCAATGACTTTTGGGATTTTTATTTTTATTTATTTTTTTCTTTGAGAGAAGAGATTTTTGCTATGGGGTATATCTGCTCACCAGAGACACAAAAAGAGAGTCAGAAATAAGAAATCAGCCACAATAGGGGATGGTCAGGCCACAATCTTGCCTTCTTCATTCTCTTCTCAAGATTTTGGGCACGCATGTACACCTTCCTGGTGTGTTTCAACCCACCAGGTCTGTAACTTGAGCCATAGTTGACCCCATGAGAGTCTAGCGCTTTAACTACCACGCCACCTGCAGGCGCGGAATTTTTAGAAGTGTGTTGTGCAGGCTGGATAGTAGTGCAGTGGGAATGCAACTTGACCTACATGGAAGGGTCCCAGGTGCTCCTCCCACGACTTCCCTGTGTAGACCAGCACATGCTTGTGATCTTGACTAGGAACTGGGGGTAGATTGTAGTATGATAATCCTGTTGGATTTACTTTCTCCCTACCCCTGAAAGAAATTAATGTTTTTGAAAGTGTGCTTCTGAATTCATCTTACTGTCCTTCTCACCTTTTCATTATTAAGGCAGTCTTCTGTTTTGAGTCTTACTTTACAGATGATTTCTCCTCCCTCCCCCCCCTCATTTTTGGGGTAGGGTTTTTGCCAAAGGGGGCATGTGCACTCTTCAGAGAGAGACAGAGAGGGAAAGTGAGAAATCACTCCCTAGGCGAGATGGCCACACTGCAATACCTTCTACATTTTCCTCCTAGGATTTTGGGTACGTGCCTGGTATGATTTTTCAAGTCACTGGATCTGGGGATTCAAACTGCAGTCAACCATGTAGGAGTCCAGTTGCCACCTTCTGACCCCCACATAATTTCTATTTAAAAAAAAAATTTATGGGTTAGGGTGAGAAAAATATGTTACGTGTGTATGTGTGTGTGTACACACATATATCATTCTATGAAATAACTTTACTTGCATGAAGATAAGAATTTAAAATTTGGGGGACCAGCAGATGGCATAATGGTTACCTCACTGGACTTCCAGGTAGTCAACCGTGGTTCGAGTCCCAGACCCAGTGCTTAAAACTCATGCCAGATACATGTGCATGTGTTCCCAAATCCCAAGAGATTAGAGGAGAAGGGGTTGCGGTGTGGCCATCCTCTCTGGTGGATGACTTCTTTTGTTTTGTTTTGTTTTGTTTTCTATAGGGAGGGCATGTGCGCTCACCAGAAAGACAGAGACAGAAAGCAAGAGATTCCCCACCCCACCCCCAGGGTGGGTGGCCATGCCGCAATCCCTTCTCCATTCTCGGGATCTTGGGCAAGCATGCATACATGCCTGGTGTGAGTTTAAGCCACTGGGTCCGGGACTCAAACAACGGTCGACTATGGGAGTCCAGCCACATAGCCATACACTAACTGCTGGTCCCCTTAGTGGGTGATTTCTTGCTTTCTGTCTCAAAAAAAAAAAATTAGAGAGCCATCTTGTGCCCTGGTTTTTAAGGCAGTTGGATTCCACATGACTGACTACATGGTTTGAGTTCTGGATCTGATGCCTTGAAAAACTCGCTGTGGGGACGAGGGAGCAGCAGATGGCCTAATGGTTATGTTGCTGGACTACCACGTTAGAAGACTGTGGTTCAAGTCCTGGACCTGGTGGCTTAAACTCACACCAGGCACGTGTGCATACGTGCCCAAGATCCTGGGAGGAGAAGGGGTTGCGGCGTGGCCATTTCCCTCCCCCGGGGGAGGGGGATAATTTCTCGCTTTCTGTCTCTTTCCAGCAAGTGCACATGCCTGATAGCAAAAAATCTCTAAAAATGAAAAAAAAAAAAAATCTTGAAAGGAGGGAGAAATTTAGAATTTTAGAGAGGATTACAGGGCGGCTATTTCCCAAAGGGTGCTTTTCCCATCCACAGCCCCCTCCCCTCCACCCTACACATGCACGTGTCTTCTGACTTTTTTTTTTTTTTTTAATAATAATTAAAAATTGTACCTTTTGGGCCAGCAAGTGACCTAGAGGTTAAGGCAACTGGGGTCCCCATGGCCAACTGCGTGGTTTGAGTCCCAGACCCATGACTTGAATGTCAAGCCCAGGCGAATGTGCATGCATGCCCCAAAATTCCCAGAGGAGAATGGAGCAAGGATTGCAGTGTGGTCACCCCCCTCCCCCCCGGGATGATTTCTCACTCTTCACCTCCTCTAGGGTGTGCTGGGACCTTATAGTATTAGGTCATTGGGACAGTCATGATCTTTTTTGTGTGTTTTTCTGTGCAAAAATATGTTATGATTTTCTCAATGACCCAAAAAGTGCCTTTTTACTTTTTATTTTAGGTTTGTATTTGGACAAACCTAAATTTATAACCCTAAGGTTGTAAATTTGTGTGTTTATCTTACGTCTGAACTATCAGTTGCAAACCTGCCTATGTAGAGCTGAGACATGATTGTATGGGAGTTATTCATGCTACAATTTCTTCATTCCCCCCTCCCTTTAGGATTTTGGGCATGTTTTTTAAGCCACCAAGTCTCAGACTCAGACCTTACAGTTGGCCATGTGGGATCCAGCTGCCTTAAACACCATACCTCTAGCTGCCCACCTCCCCCTTTTTTTAATAAGCAAAGATGTCTTTACGGGGCCAGAAGGAGGACAGTCACCCAGACACAGCAGCCAAGTTACCTGAGTGACGTGTGCCTGAGGCTAATTACCTCCTGTCCATTCTCATGTACCATGCTTGAAATTCCTGCAATTTTGGTAGCTGTCCACAAGGGATATGTTAGTGGCTATATAGGAACACAGGTTAAAATAGACTTCTTTCTTAAAGAAGAGATGTCTGAATAGTATATTTATGTAGTTAACTTTGCATTTTCTAGAAAAATACAGTGCTTAAAATAGTAAATCCTCATACTCTTAATTATGTTCTTAGTTTTATTAAATTATTGTCCTATGTCAGCAAAATAGCATTTTAGAGAAAAAGTACACTAATGGCACTACACAGATTCCCACTAACTTGATATTTGTTACTAATTTTGATACAGATTTTAGTTTTTTAAAAAGCCTTTTCTGGGTGCCTGAATCCGTCATGGCCAACCAAGGGATTCATGTTCTGGACCCAGTAGCTTCAAAAATACCCATCCTGAAAGGAAGGAGAAATGGACAATATATTTCATGTGACCTTCTTCTATGGGAGTGCTTTCTCTCTCTGGCAAGCACACATGCCCTCTGGCCGTTTTTTGTTTGTTTGTTTTAAGCCATTTCTCTCCTTTTGAATACTGTTAAAAACATAAATATTCTAAATGTGGTAAATTTTGGTATTCTAAGTAAGATTTAGATTTAAAAAAATTCTTTTTTAACTTTGGCTTTAGGTACACGTGCTTGCCAGAGGGAAAGTGACAAAGCACCCCCCAGAAGGAATTTAAATAATTAAATTGCCAATCATAAGGCAATACATGTCATTCCCTTATGTTAATACTAGTTATTTCTATAATCTGGAACCAAGCAAAGATATGATTACTTTTTGGGTCAGGATAAGTAATTGATCAAATGTATTTTGGTAGACAGTGGGACAGGATTTATAAAAGGGATTTTTGCTTCTTGAAACATTTCAAAAGACTGATAGGGCCTTCATTTCTTCAGTGGGGAAGTAAGTCCACGTGAAATTAAGGAAGTTGCTCAAGGTCAGAAGAATCAGTGGCAGATGGGTACAGAATTCATCTGCTTTAATAAGAGGAGTGTCAAGACTGCCCCACATGACCTATCTCTGAAGGAGAATGGGATCATTTAACAGAAAATGTTTCATTACTCTCTTAGGTTTTTGCCATAAGGCACATGCCCCCATCAAAGTCAGAGACAGTGAGAAGGAAATTGAAAATCATACCCTACCCCCACAGGAGAAATGGCTGTGCCATAACCCCTTCTCCATTCTCCTCTTGGAATTTTGGGGACTCAACTGTGCAGCCATGGAATCTAGTGCCTTAACCACCATGCCACCTGCTGGCCCAAAAATCATATTACTCTTACTTTATACTTTATGCTGGGCAGTGTAATTAATGGCTTTATTTTCTAAATAGAGGGTAACTTGCTTTAAATAAAACCTAACCAGAGAAGGAAAATTTGGATTTAAGAATTTAGAATTTTTGATGATACTAAGTGAAAGTCAGCTTTTCATTTATGGCCCTCTCTTCTCCATTACTCCTTTGTTTTGTTAGGTGGTATGGGCAAGAAAAAGACTACAATGTGCTAGTCATGGATCTTCTGGGACCCAGCCTTGAAGACCTCTTCAATTTCTGTTCAAGAAGGTTCACAATGAAAACTGTACTTATGTTAGCTGACCAGGTGGGTAAAATTTTGAAAACTTAGAATATTACTGTTAACTATATTCCAAACATTACTAAATTATGTAGTGAGATATAATAAAATATAATTGTGTGTGTTGCTATTTAACCTTAGGATAAGTATTTTAAAAAGGTGAAATAGTAGGATGTACTTATTTCAAGTACACCATTCTAATATGACTTGTAAATGTCCAACAGGTATAGGACAAAAACTGAAATTATATTGGTTTAATACTTATCTGTAGACTGTAGTTTCAAGCTTCTTCAATTTGTTTTAGTATTGAATGTTAAGAAAATTGAATATTATGTATTGTATGTGGGATGCTTATAAAACCTGTATTTTTGAAGAAAACAAGGCATACGGTAATTTAGGAAGAGTATTTTGACCGTGTAGATGCTTCTTGAAGCAATATATCCTCAGCCTTTGGTGGTATTTTATCAAGAGCTAGGAAATTTTGGCTATGTCAAAAATTAGATTTGTGGATGAGCTGTAAGTTACATAAAATGGTATTATAGCCAAAGATTAAGTTGGATCTTGGGAGCTGGCCCATGGCGTGGTGCTTAAGGGAACCAGATCCCTCATGGCCGTGCGGTTCAAGTCTCAGACCCAGCTTAAGAGACATGCCATGCTTGTGTGTTTGTATACACCCCAAATCCCAACAGGATGGAGAAATGGAGGAGAATGGATGTGGCATGACTGTCCTCCACTGAGGAGTGTTCTCTTCTTTTCCTTTTTGACTCTCTGGCAAGTGCAAATGCCCTCTGGCATATTTTTGTTTGTTTTGCTTTTAAGAAGAAACAATGGATTGGATCTTAAGAATCAGGGTTCTGTGTTAATTGCCAGAGTAAGAGTGTCAGGGGTGATGGACATAGTCACACTTCAGTCTCTTCTTCCCCATTTCTCCATCCCTTCAGGATTTGGGACAGACACACACACACACACACACACACACACACTCCCCACTGGCATGTTTTCCAAGCCAGTGGGGTTAGGAGGTTAGGATTCAGACCACAGCTAGTCAAGTGGGAATCTTGCTCCCTTAAGCACTGAGCTGCTAGAGCATGAGATGAAATGAGAAGCAAATCTTAAAAGAAAAGATAATATGTTAAGATAATAGATAAATATCAAGAAAACATTTTTGTTGTGCTTAATATTTGTTAATTTTATCAGAGTGTTTTGTTGTTGTTTTTCTTGGTATGGAGTGAGTACGCTCACTAGAGAGACAGAAGAGGAGAGTGAGAAATCATGCCCTGGGGAGATGGCCACACCCAGGCCCAGCGTGTTTTTCAAGCCACTGGATCTGAGACTCGAACCATGGAGTCAGCCCTGTGGGATCCAATGCCTTAAACACCACACTACCTGCTGTTCTCCCTACCCCATTTTTTTAAAGATTGCCATAGGGCTGGGGGAGAAAGCACCCTCCAGTGGATCAGAGTCATATTGTAATGCTTTTTATATTTTATGGCCTTTTGGGATTTGGGGCATGTATATAGCTGTGGCCTCAGTGTTTTTCAAACTGCCAGGGGCAGGATTCAAACTGAAGTCAGCCATATGAGATCTGACTCCTTTAACTACTAGACTTTGGGGCCTTTGTCAAAATGTGTTTATAGGAATCAGCAGTTGGCGTAATGGCTATGTTGCTGGACTCCCATGTAGTGGACTGCGGTTCAAGTTCCAGACCCAGTAGCTTAAACTCATGCTGGGTGTGTGTGTGTGCCCAAAATCCCAAGAGGAGAATGGAGGAAAAGGGATTGCAGTGTAGTCATCCCCCCTGGGGCGGGAGTAATTTCTCACTTTCTGTCTTTCTCTTTCTGGAGAGTGAATGCACCCCATAGCAAAAACCTCTCCCCCCCAAAAAATGTGCTTATAAAAATGCTGTGAAAGTGGTTTATCTTAAATGTAAATTGAAGGGACCAGCAGGTGGCATGTCGTTAAGGTGCTGGGCACTCCCACATGGCGGGCAGCGGTTCCAGTCCTGGATTTGGTGACTTGCTTTCTCACTTTGTCTCTCTCTTGCTCTGGCCAAATTAAAATAAATAAATAAATGAATGAATGAATAATCTTTTTTAAAATGTAGATTGAATGTCCATAAAGGAAAAAGGTAATAAATAGAACATTTGATGTAGATACTTATTTTTAGAGGAAGATCCTTACAATAGGGCATATGTACTCATCAGAGAGGCAGACAGAGAGACAGAAACTGAGAATTCACTCCCCCAGGGGTGTTGGCCACGCCATAGTCCCTTCTCTTCCATTCTTCTCTTGGGATTTTGGGCCCATGTAACTGACGGAGTTTCAAGCCTCCAGGTCCAGGACTAAAACCACCATCAACCATGCAGGCATGCAGGAGTGCAGTGATGTAACCATTATGCAGTCTGCTGGTCCCTTGAGGTAGAATTTTTAAAAATCTATAAATTAAAAGAATTAGGAATTGGAGAAGGTTTTATGGTATGGCCATCCTCCCTGGGGGTGATTTCTCAATTTCTGTCTCTGGCAAGTGCACGTGCCCTATAGCAAAAATTTCTCTCAAGAGAAAAAAAGGGGGCTTCTTCAGGGCTGGCAGGTGGCATGGTTGTTAAGGCACTACTGGACTCCCACATGGTTGACCGCAGTTTGAGTCCCAAACCTGGCGACTTATTTTCTTTCTTTCTCTCTCTCTCTCTCTGTCTCTCTCAGGTTAAAAACACATTTTTAAAAAATTTTGAATCTTTTTACATAACAGATAAAAGACTGACCATTCTGTGAAGAGGACTTATAAAAAACGAAAAGCACAGACCAAAAGAAAATAGGCAAAACTATAAGTTAATAGTCATAGAATAGTAAGTTCAAATCGCCAGTAAAAATAATCAGAGGCCCAAACTAAGAGTTCGGGAAGTATGAGTGAAGTGTAGTACTTTGTTTTTGTTTTTTAAAGTGTGATACTTTTTACCTGTCAGATCTGCAGAAAGAAACAATAACTTGGCTGTTGCTTTGCTAGTGAGAAAAAGAATGTTCTCATATACTAGTAGTGGAAATATTAATTGCCTTCTTTTTGATGAGGGGAGGTTTTTGCAATAGGGCTCATGTGCTCACCTGAGAGACCGAGAGACCGAAAGTGAGAAATCATCCCGGGGGGGGGAGGGGATGGCCATAGTCCATTCTCCTCCCGGGATCTTGGGCATGCACGCACACGCACCTGGCATGAGTTTAAGCCACCAGGTCCAGGACTTGAACTGCGGTCAACTACATGGGAGTCCAACGACATAGCCATTATACAAACTGCTGGTTCCAGAAATATTAATTTCTATAATTTGATTTAAAAGGCAATTTGACATCTATCTAAATACAAAATATATATACCCTTTAACATAGTAACTCCCCATAATTGTATGAGTTTTATAGCCCATAGAAATAAAACTTACCAGTAGAGAATTCTGTATATCTAATTATATTAATAAGATTATTTGGGACCGCAGTTAGCGTAATGGCTTTGTCACTGGACTCCCACGTAGTTGGCTGCTGTTCACGTCCCGGACCCGGTGGCTTAAAACTCAGCCCGGCGCATGTGCGTGCTTGCCCAAGATCCCCAGAGGAGAATGGAGAAGGGATTGCAGTGTGGCCATCCGCCCTGGGGGGTGATTTCTCGCTTTCCGTCTCTCTGTCTCTCTCTGTCTGTCTGGAGAGCGCATGTGCCCTATAGCGAAAACCTCTCAAAAAAAAAAAATTATTTATAGTGGGAAGATAATTAGAAGCAGTGAAAATATTGTGATTTGGTGAATAACTAGAGAAAACATCTGTACCATAGAGTATTAGAGTAATATACTATTTAATTTAGCATAATTTCCTTTTTTAAGGGATTAGCATAATTTTTTAATGGTTAAGAAAACCTTGTTAGAATAATAGGATCAATAATCAACTTTTGAATAGGGTTATATAAACATGGGGAGAAAAGCATTGGATAGGGGATAAGCAGGTGATATAACGGTTGCATCGCTGGACTCCCATGTAGTTGACTATGGTTCAAGTCCCGGACCCAGCATCTTGAAACTCACACCAGGCCCATGTGTGTGCATTCCCAAGATTTAGAGAGCAGAATAGAGAAGGGATTGCGGTGAGGCCTTTCCCACCCCGGTGATTTCTTGCCTTATGTCTCTTTGTTTCTCCAGTGAGCACACACGCCCTATAGCAAAAATCTTATGAAACAAAAAAAGAAAGTAAAACGTGGATAGTCCAAAAAGCATGCAAGAAACATGTTTATATAAAAGACACATGCTTACATACATATTTGTGTTGTAACTACCAATGCCCAGGGAGAGAGCGCATGTGCCGTATAGCGAAAACCTCTCAAAAAAAAAAAATTATTTATAGTGGGAAGATAATTAGAAGCAGTGAAAATATTGTGATTTGGTGAATAACTAGAGAAAACATCTGTACCATAGAGTATTAGAGTAATATACTATTTAATTTAGCATAATTTCCTTTTTTAAGGGATTAGCATAATTTTTTAATGGTTAAGAAAACCTTGTTAGAATAATAGGATCAATAATCAACTTTTGAATAGGGTTATATAAACATGGGGAGAAAAGCATTGGATAGGGGATAAGCAGGTGATATAACGGTTGCATCGCTGGACTCCCATGTAGTTGACTATGGTTCAAGTCCCGGACCCAGCATCTTGAAACTCACACCAGGCCCATGTGTGTGCATTCCCAAGATTTAGAGAGCAGAATAGAGAAGGGATTGCGGTGAGGCCTTTCCCACCCCGGTGATTTCTTGCCTTATGTCTCTTTGTTTCTCCAGTGAGCACACACGCCCTATAGCAAAAATCTTATGAAACAAAAAAAGAAAGTAAAACGTGGATAGTCCAAAAAGCATGCAAGAAACATGTTTATATAAAAGACACATGCTTACATACATATTTGTGTTGTAACTACCAATGCCCAGGGATGTTTAGCATATATTGGGTCATCGGAAAAGTTACAACTTAAATTTTGTTTTCCTGTGCAAAAATGCATCATGATTTTTCTGACAACCCGATATTTAGTTAAGCAGATTAGAGATTAGAATGTGAATAGAATGCTTCTCAATTTGAAATAACAATTACTTATAGTCAATTGGTTAATATCCCCCACTCCCAAGTGTACGTGTTCTTACGTATTTATAAGAAAAGCATGGAAATAGGTCTGTGTGACTTTATAAGGCAATTTTAACACAGGTTACCACACGGAATGTAGGGCTGAAGACTTACTGTAACAGTTAAAAGAATTATTAACGTATATATTACTTTTATAATTGGAACATTGTAAACACCGAGTCTTCCTATCAGGTTAGATCTTATCTTTTTAACTAGAGAGACTTTTGCTACAGAGTGTGTGCACTCTCCAAAGAGACAGAGACAGAAAGGGAGAAATCACCCCCTGGGGAGGAGTGGCCATGTCACAATCCCTTTTCCATTCTCCTCTCAGGATTTTGGGCACACACAAACATGTGTCTAATGTGATTTTTAAGTCTCTGACTCTGGGACTTGAACCAAGGTCAACTATGTGGGAGTTCAGCAAAATAACCATTACGCCACCTGCTGGTCTCAAGACCCTGTCTTTTTTTTTTGGAGAGATTTTTGCTATAGGGCACATGTGCTCACCAGAAAGCGAGAAATCATCCCCCAGGGGAGATGGCCATGCCACAATCCCTTCTCCATTCTCCTCTTGGGATCTTGGGTACGCATGCACACATGCCCAGTGTGAGTTTAAGCCACCGGATCTGGGACTTGAACCATGGTCGACTACATGGAAGTCCAGCGACATAGCCATTACGCCAACTGCTGGTCCCTCATTCATAGTAATGGAAGCCAAAGGATGCTGTGGGTTCATGGTTTGATGACCATCAGTCTGGAAACAACAGGGAGCTTGGTTATCCATTACATTTAATTTTTTCTAAGATTATCTTTATGAACTCTAAATAAATTATATTGAAATATTTCAGAAGTATGTTGCTTTTTTATCACTTAATTATCTCTCTTTTTTATTTTCCAGATGATCAGTAGAATTGAATACGTGCATACAAAGAATTTTATACACAGAGACATTAAACCAGATAACTTCCTAATGGGTATTGGGCGTCACTGTAATAAGGTTAGTCAAATGCTCTTTGCATGAAAAAACACAGTAAAATGTCTACAAGAATTGCTTTGGTAAACATTCAGTCTTTAATAAGCCATAGTAAATTGAATTTGCTCATGATAATTGCTTTGAAAGATTGTGCTAGGATAATCAGCTAACTCTATTAACTTAGTGACTTGAAATAAATTTTCTCCAACTTACCCATCCAAGGTCCAATATTCAGAAATATAAAATTCCAAGGGCTTTATAATGACCTGTAATCATCTGTGTTTAACTATTGAATAGTCGTATCTGTTTTTCATTCACTCGAGTAATGAAAACCTCTCTATACTTTTCCTCCTGAATGCTAAAAATCAGATTTTAACCTTGGCTCTGAATGTGGGTTTTGTAATATATGTGCTTGTGCCAGTGTCGGAACCACTGACCCATGTGTCACCATGGCGTTAACATTTGCTGACTGAGCATGGTTGATAATGACAATTATTCAGTCCTTGGATTCTTCATGTATTTAAGACAATAACTTGGGCCTGCTTCAAAAGTAGTTCAGTTTCTTACTTGAATGCCAAGTTGGGTGAGTTCTCTACTGCTTCTCTCCTTTTAAAGGAAAATACAGATGAGTGAAATGAAGATCCCTGTAGCAAAACTAGTGTTCATTGGGGTCTCTTAAGAATGGTTCAACTTCTGGGATTGGATATTAGCCAGTGATGCATGATTGCCATTAGTAATTAATTGTGCTGAAATTTTTTTCTGTAACAATTAGTTTTGAGAGAATTGCCTCTTTTTTTTCTTAAATTAATGTTGAGCTCGGACAGACAGGCAGCATTGGCAATGCACTTAAACATGTTATACAATGATCTGATAGAAATTATCAGTCTCAGGACAACTTGGATTTATTTATTTACTTATTTATTTATTTTTGCAGTTCTTTTATTTTGTTTTTATTTGTTTCTGGAAGGAAGATTCCCATTTGTTTCATTAAATTGTTAGGGAATGTTTGGAGTTTTTAGGTCTAGCTATGTTTACCTTTGTTTGCCTGTATGAATGCCAACTTAGAGCCATTATCATTAGAACTGGTGTTATTTTTCAATATGTGAGATGTTAATGTTGATCTAAGTTTTAGGAAATTAAAAATTTTTTGTACAATGTCTGCATAAAACTATCTTGTCATTCCCAAATTACATTTTTTAAAATGTGTTGTTTTTTTAAAATGTGTGGACCAGCAGATGGCATAATGGTTATGTTGCTGGACTCCCATATAGTCAACCGTGGTTTGAGTCCTGGACCCGGTGGCTTAAAATTCACACAAGGTGCACATGCATATGTGCCCAAAATCTCGAGAGGAGAGTAGAGGAGAAGGGATTGTGGTGTGGCCATCCCCCCTGAGGGGGGTGATTTCTCACTTTCTGTCTCTCTATCTCTTTCTCTCTCGGGTGAGCGCACTCGCTCTATAGCAAAAAATCTCCCCCCCCCTCCCCGCCAAAAAAAATGTTAAAGATGTGTTATGTAGCTGCTCTCTGAAGAATCCAGGTTCTTGGTTGTTATTACAAGGCCTGGTAGTGTAATTGAAAAAAATTACTGTTAAATTGGACAGTTTTGTCAGTTTGACTCAACCTCTTTTGGCCATTTCCCTGCTTTCTCCTTCCCATTTTCTTACCAGTAATACTCATTATCCCCATGTTATCCCTGTTCTGCATGTTGACGTTAAAATTGCAGTACGTGATTTTTACCTTAAATTTTAATGATGGCCTATGTAATACCACTTTGCTTTTTTCTCCTCTTAAAGAATAGTTTGTTATCACGTAGTTTTATTAGGAAGTCCAAGTTGCCTGGTGATAAAACCCATTTTAGGATCTGTGTTCCTCCTTTATAGATAACCAAATGAATTGTATGGAGCTGCTTGCTGCTAGTTTCAGTGAGTCCCTGAGTTAGAAGTGAAGTGTTTTATTCAGCTAAGGTTTAAATACTAAATGTTTCTCTTGAACATTTTAGATTAGTATTTCGTTTATGTAGTTGGTTTTTAGTGTTTTCTGAGACTGGAGTCTTTGGTCAGCTCATTCCAGTAGTTTTTTATTCATGGGGAGAAAACTTTTTGGGAGATTTTGAGGTCAATAAGTTAAATTTCGAATATGGAAAATTGTTCTGAATTTAATATTTAGGAGTAGTCACTCCAGTCTTAGTCAATGTGCTCATCTTTTCTAGTAATCAGCCCTGCATGCTTATGAAAATAAATTTTAAGGTGACTAAATGCCTTCTACCTCTTCCTTACTGAAGATTTTTTCCCCCTGTACACCTTTTTTGGGGGAAGGGCAGATTATGGTACCAATGACTTACAGATCTAAATTCCCCATTTTTGATTAAAAAGTTAAAGAGCCAAATGTCACCATTGCTATCCCTGTTTCAGGCAGTGACACAATATAGTGGCATTAAAAACTTGAGTATTCTCCAGAATTCAAATGTTCTAGAGCATATGATTCTTATTTGGAAAACTGAGAAGCTACAGTGCTTGGTGGAAGAAGGATGGCATTTGGCTACCCTGTTCTTTCTCTAATGCCTCGGTGTTGCCTGTCTGCGCCGGCCATTGTTGCAATGTAAGCAATACTGTTTGATGCACTGCCACCCTCTATTGTCTGTTTAGTGTTTAGAATCTCCAGTGGGGAAGAGGAAAAGAAGCATGACTGTTAGTACTTCTCAGGACCCATCTTTCTCAGGATTAAACCAGGTCTGAAACTGTCTCCTATTCCAACCTCAATCCCAAATTCATGTGCTTTTTCTTTTTTATTGTTTTATTTTGATAATTTTTGTTTTGTTTTAATTCTGGAGAATGTAGATCTTGCTCAAGCACCTCTTATGTTGGCATTATTCAGACATACTTGGCAAACATATAACATTACTAAGATGTTTCTTTGCGGCTTTTGCTTAAAATTGTAAAGTTTAGAGGAAAATTAAATGAAAATAAGATGTTATATTTAGATTTCTAATATCCATATGAAGAAATGATATATTGGATTAGCTTTGAAGTTCTTTACCTAATAGAAAACTTGAGATAGACTGCTTAGTTTTTAAAAATGTATTTGGAGTTGCAGAACTTAATTCACAGAATCAATTTAGTTACACCAGGGTGTATAGTGAATATATTCTGCCTCACCTCCCTTCTCTTTCCGTAATGAGCATCAAGTAAGTGCAGATCAGATTTCAGATCTAGTGTTTCTAGAATTCATTTGCCTTAGTCTGTAAATTCTCATCTTCTACCAAATAGATAATTAAAGAGCATTATGTGCTCTGGAACTATGAGACATGGCATCCTTAACCATGTAACAGCATAATTTAAGTACTCATCAAACTGTGGCAAATTACTGTTAGTAATATGTAAGATAAATTAAATGAATTTATAACCTGGTGATTTTGTTTTTGGCAAGCTACATAAACTCTCCCAGTAATTTTGTAAATATTTAAAGAAAATGAAAGCAGAGCCAGTGACTTGGTGACTGGGGCAACTGGATCCCATGTGGTTGTACAGTTCAAGTCCCGGACCCGGCGGCTTGGGAGATGGGCTTTGTGCTTGTGTGCCCAAAATTCCAAGAGGAAAATGGAGAAGGGATTGCGACGTGGCCATCCCCCTTGTGTGCTTTCTCTCTCTCTCTCTCTTTTGCCCTCTCTATTTCTCTCTGGCGAGCAAACACACCTTATAACAATTTTTTTTTTAATACAAATTTTTACACACACACTTCAACAGTTTCTTAGATATTATAATCCTAATATAGAGGGGAAAAAAGAAAGAAGAAAAGTAGAATTCTGTATATTTACTTTTATAGAAGTTAGATTTTTTTCACTGTACCTTTTTTTTAGACAAAGGAAAATTAGACTCTTTAAATCACAGAATTTAGGTGTGAATTTTGACCATCATGAACAAGTAAATCTTTATATCATTCAATTTAGTATACACTGAAAAGGTAGAAACATGCGTGATTAAAAAAACAACAACATACTTGGTGGTACCTTAATTTTCCATGTGTATCATTTGGGTAATCATTTAATCCTTCTCCATATTGCCCAGGCATATTTCAAGAACTGCCTTTTGTTGTTAGATGGTTACAGAAATTGAAAGTTACTTTTAATCAGGCAAGGAAATACCAACCATTGTTATTTGATCTAGGTTGGGGACAGAGAGCATGGATGGTGGAGAGTTAGCCACATTACAAGACAGTACAAAATTGTTGAACTTTTTACATACCCATTTATTCACATATTTCACTTGTTTTATAACATGATCATTTAATATTGGAGGGTCGGGAAAGTCGTGATGCATTTTTGCAAAGAAAACCACTTCTTTCCCAACAACTTAATAATTTACATATAAAGTTGTATTGAAGTTTTATATTCCGTATATCCAGGTTAGCTAGGTTGTGAGGGAGTGACCTTGTGAATATTTTGGAAGGGCAGGGGAATGAAACTCCTGGTTAGGAAAAAAAATGCTGCAAGTACTAAAACCTAAAATTAGCAACAGTGTTTCTGAAGAAAATGTGCTTCAGTTGAAAGGAATTGCCCCATTTTGTCAAACATTAACTCATTTCCATGTGCCTTTGATGAATAGGCTGCGTTCTTTAAATCAGGCACAAATTTTACTTACTGCATATAATTAGTAAAAATCCACATGAAAGCAGCTTGGCCCACCCGAGCAACTCGCCAGTTACTGTATGTGAAGCCTGTGAAATACATTTCCTTGTGCTGAGTCCATGCTGCCTTTTCCTCACTTGGTTCTACCATTACGAATTCACAGATGTTGGACTGTGTCTCCCCTACCGTATCTCGTGTAAGCACTTCCATTAATTTTTAAGGTCAAAGCACACAGAGAAATAATGAAGACACTTGATTAGGTACTTCATGGTAATGAACTACCATGAAATTTTTTTGTGTTTTCATTTCAATTAGTTTTTCTGTCCTTTGTTTACTGAAAATAGGGTAACCCTGTGCATCCCAATCATGCCTTTTCCTAACCTACTAACCAGATTTTATAAGAAAACATTTTATTTGCCCTTTTTTTTTGGTTTTGATATTAAAGATTTAGATATTTAAGAAGATAATGTTTATATATTCTTAACTCTCTTTATAAATACAATTTCTCCTTCTAGTATTATGAAAGTAAGAATTCTCCAGTGAACACTGAAGTTCTATAAAGCAGTCACTTGATTGGGAGAAAGTGTCTGGTTAGTGAGTGAAAAGTGGAGATAACGGAGTAGAGATTGAGACAGGAGTGAACCTGTCTGATATAATCATGACAGAGCTGCTCCCTTTTCCACCATCTGAAGTACCAGAGGAGACAATCCTAGAAAATATCTTCCAGAGGAAATTCTCTGTGCTAATCACTACTGATTAAAAGTCCACATATTAGCAATACTTTTTAAAATGCCATGAAGCCGAGTTTCCTTTTGTGCTTACTTTCCTGTGTTTTCATTGTAATGGGAAATCTGCAGAACTTAATCATCATTTCTATTTCGCTATTTAATAGAAGTATATTGCTCATCTTAGTATTGGTGTACTAAGCCAGTTTACATAGCAAGAGAGACTTGCAGTGTGAGCTTTCTTTTAGTGTTTAAGAACACTAACTTTCTCATTCCTATAATCACTTTATTATTGTTTAGGTAGAGATTTAAATCTTACTGCTTAGCTTTCATTATCCAATTTCACTTTACTAAATTTCATCTTTATTCTTTCAGAGTAAATTAAGTAAAAATAAGTATCTCATTATTGATATGGTGAAAACTCAAACGAAAATGTCTTTAATATCATTGAAAATAGGTTACAGTGCCTGGTTGAAATAAGTGTTATTCAACATTCTAAGAGAGCCATTTGATCAGATCTTTATAAACCTGGATCAATAATTCGCTTTAATTGTTTTTTTGACAGAGAACCTAATAGGTTAGAAGAATGGATTTCCTAGTACATAACAGATTATAAACTGTCAGACAGGAAACAGGAGCCAATAGCCTAATGGAAAGAACTACGAAATAGGAACTAAGTAGAAAAGAGCAATAGTCTAGGGCTATTTAATAAAAGGGCATGTAGATCTGGTTTTTGTAGATGTAACTTTCTATTACATTTTTTAGATGAGGCTTGTGTACTTGCTAGAGTGATATAGAGAAGGAGAGGAAGAATACACTCTCCATGGGGGTTGCTCACACCACAATCCTCTCTCTGAAAGATCTCTGCTTTTGGAACTTTGGGCACTCGGTGCACACTCACCTGGCATGTTTTTTAAGCCACCAGTCTGGGAATCAAACCACATAGTGGGGCCATATTGAACCCAGCCACTTTCACCACTGTGCCACCAGCTGGCCTTATTGTTAGAACTTTATTTCAGTGTAGTACAATATGTTATTTTATAATAATGGTTTTTAAGTAAAGCTTATTTTGTTTTTAAGTAAAGCTTATTTTGTTTTAGAAAGTAGGTAAGTGAATTTTGTTGTTGTTGTTGGAAGGGTACAGCACTCTCCAGAGACCTCGGTGCACACTCACCTGGCATGTTTTTTAAGCCACCAGTCTGGGAATCAAACCACATAGTGGGGCCATATTGAACCCAGCCACTTTCACCACTGTGCCACCAGCTGGCCTTATTGTTAGAACTTTATTTCAGTGTAGTACAATATGTTATTTTATAATAATGGTTTTTAAGTAAAGCTTATTTTGTTTTTAAGTAAAGCTTATTTTGTTTTAGAAAGTAGGTAAGTGAATTTTGTTGTTGTTGTTGGAAGGGTACAGCACTCTCCAGAGACAAAGGGGGGAGGCAGAAGGCAGCCTCCAAAGGGGCGTGGTCATGTACATAATCCCTTCTCCATTTCTCCATCCTGTGGGATCTGGGGCACACAAGGACTCTTTTCCCATGTGTGTTTAAGCTGCCAGGGCTAGATTAGAACCTTTTGGTTGACCATGTAGGGTCAGGCTCCCTTAGTGACTAGGCGACAGGGCCAGTCCTCTAGTTTCACTTTTATTAATAGATAGCCAATTTAAACTACTAATTGTAAGCCACCTTATTTAAATGTTAAGTGGTAGATATTTTCATGTTTTGTTTTAAGTTTTGGGGTTTTTTCCTTTTCTTTTCTTTTTTAGTAGAACCTGCATGCATAATGTTAGTGCAGGGTAGCAGAATGTTACGCATGCTTCTTTAGGAAAGGCCTGGGTTTTTTTTGTTGTTGTTAATAAAAAACGTCTTGATTTCATTGGTAGTATTAGACTGGGGAGGAGTGTTTTATTTAGATAATGAGCATTTGGAAGAATGGCCTTTGTAGGAGGAGAAAGTTACAGATAGCTTATGTCTACATTTTGATAACTCTTGCTTGTTTACTAATAGTAATAGGTTGTCAGGTTTCCTTATAGCAAATAGTATCCTTGTCAACTCTGCTATCAAGCATGTATATATTTCTCCACTTAATTTTATAAAAACAGGCTCCTGAATGTATACTGAACTGAGCCTGTGAAATTGTGCAAATGACAGTGTTCCAACTATTACACTGAACTGTAATTTTTAAACTTGCTTTATTAGTAAAAGCTTGTTGGGGTTTTGATTTTGTTTATTATTCTACTTATGATGCTTTATTTTGATATAGTTGAATACATAGAATAGATGCCGTTTAATGAGTAAGAAGAAAGCAGTTTGGATGAACAAGGTTGGAAACCTAATGTCTCTTTATTTCTCTCTTAAAGTTATTCCTTATTGACTTTGGTTTGGCCAAAAAGTACAGAGACAACAGGACAAGGCAACATATACCATACAGAGAAGATAAAAACCTCACTGGCACTGCCCGATATGCTAGCATCAATGCACATCTTGGTATTGAGCAGAGGTGAGTTGGAAATTGAATGTGCTTGCCAAACACATAACAAAAGCCATTAATGGTTTTTTGTTGGTTTTTTGTTTTTGTTTTGGGAGTGATTTTTGCTACAGTGTGGGTATACTCACCAGAGAGAGACAGAGACAGAAAGCGAGAAATCACCCCCCAGGGGGATGACCATGCTGCAATCCCTCCTCCTCCATTCTCCTCTCAGGATCTTGGGCATGCACACACACGCGCCTGGCGTGAGTCTAAGCCACCGAGTCCAGGACTTGAACCACGATTGACTACATGGGAGTTCAGCGACATAGCCATTACGCTAACTGCTGGTCCCATGGGTTTTTGAAATGTAATTTTTGTTTTTTGTTTTGTTTTTGTTTTTAACAACATCTAAGAATGCCTCTTGACTGAAGGTTTGAAGTATGCTTATTAGCCACTATAGGCGATGCTTTAATCAGTGTGGAGAAGCCAAATAAATGAGGTCTTTTGCTTACTTTGTCGAAGGTTTGTCTCTTGGGGAGAAAATACTGCCTGATGGAAAGTTAGAAGCATAAATGCAATTTGGACAGTTTAAAGTAAAAAATTGAATAATTTCTGCTCTCTCCCTATTTCCTCACTTGAGTTCTAGTTTTTCAAGTTCCCTTCATCTTTTTTTGCTCATTATTTGCCCTTTAAAACAAACAGAAACAAGTGATTTGACAGTAGGTTAGGAAACTTGATGAGAAGAGTTTCAAGCTTAGGAAATATATCTGTGAATACCTGACTGATCTGGGTTAAACTATAATTTCAGTGTCTACATGCTAAAATATCACCTAACCTTAACTATATACCTATCTGAATACTTCAGTATGTGTGTATGTATATTTAGGGTTTTTTGGTTTTTTTTTTTGAGAGGTTTTTTTGCTATAAGGCGCGTGCGCTCGCCAGACAGACAGAGAGAGACATAGAGACAGAAAGCGAGAAATCACCCCCCAGGAGGGATGGTCACGCCGCAATCCCTTCTCCTCCATTCTCCTCTCAGGATCTTGGGCACGCACGCACACGCGCCCGGCATGAGTTTTAAGCCACCGGGTCCGGGACACGAACCGCGGTCGACTACATGGGAGTCCAGCGACATAGCCATTACGCTAACTGCTGGTTCCCTATATATTTAGATATTTGTGTGTGTGTGTGTGTGTGTGTGTGTGTGTGTGTGTGTGTGTGTGTATATATGTGTGTGTGTGTGTGTGTGTGTGTGTATATATATATGTGTGTGTGTGTGTGTTCACCTATAAAGTCATGATGCGTTTTTTGCTTAGAGAAGCATAGAAAAATAGGTCATGACTTTTTCTAAAACCTAATAAGTACACTCTTGCATAAGACATCAAGTAACTCTCCTCATTTAGAAAATTTCTTCTGTGAACTTGGATTACTTTCATGTGTTACCATAAGAGTTACAGTTTACAAAATTATATTCTTTTTTCTAGTCGCCGAGATGATATGGAATCATTAGGATATGTTTTGATGTATTTTAATAGAACCAGCCTGCCATGGCAAGGACTAAAGGTAAGTCAGACTCACAATACCAGTTGGTTTGTTTGCTTAAGAATAAAAGTATATATACTGACAATAACCTTTAAAAGTTCCTCTCAAATTGGAAGTATTTCTTTTTCTTTTTAAAACTATTATTTATTTACTTACTTACTTTAATTTGACCAGAGAGGAACAGAGTGAGAGGTGGCCAGGGGGGAGGGGTTAAGATTTTTCTTGAATCTCACGTATATGTTTATCTAATGTGTTGAACTACTTAGGTTCCTCCGAGTGGTACTAAATATATCTTTGTGGTTGGATTCTTACTTTCCATAGGCTGCAACAAAGAAGCAAAAATACGAAAAGATTAGTGAAAAAAAGATGTCCACTCCTGTTGAAGTTTTGTGTAAGGTGAGTATGCATAGTGAATATTATAAAAATACAAATGATCCCAAAAAAATTGTAGAACTTACACATCAATGATTCTGAATATCTTTGCTTTAACAGTGACTTGAATGTGAGTCACTTTAAATAAGTGTTCAATTTCATGTTTCTGGTTTATTTAGGTTCTCTAATATATTAAAAATTGGGAATTTAATAGGGCAGATAAACTTTAATAATAGAATTTCATCAGCCTGTGAGAATTAAATTAAATTCTCCTTATCCCAAATCTGGTGCCAGAAATGAAGGGATAGCAGCAATTGGTACATAAGAATACGGAAAGAGAAAGGCAAATTGAAACAACCCAGAACAGCAATTTTCCAACAATAAAGAAATTAGTTTGAATCAGGCCCATTTCTCTAAAATTTTAAACTTCATAGAAGGGCAAATAGAGAAACTTTGTGTCTTGAACTGCGGTCTCTTCCATGGAAAGAAGGGCACATAGTCTTTTGATTTAAGAATTACATATCGGAAATTAATTAGAAAATAGTAGACAGTTAAATAGTTGGGCAATAGAGGGGAGAGATTAGAGAGAATTAAAATAGTAGTTTGTGAGTGGCCAGCAGATGACATAATGGTTGTGTTGGTGGACTCCCATTTAGTTGACTATGGTTCAAGTCCTGGACCTGGTAGCTTAAAATTCATGCCAGCCGTGTGTGTGCTTGCCCAGAATCCTGAGAAGAGACTGGAGAAGGGGTCGTGATGTGGCCGTCACCCCTGGGGAGTGATTTCTCACTTTATGTCTCTGTCCCTTTGGCAAGTGCGTATGCCCTATAGCCTCGCGCCCCCCTCCAAAAAAAAAAATTCATACTTGTGGAAGAAAGGAATGGAAATGTGTGTGTTGTATGTGTGTCTTGTTCACAAATTGACCTTTTCTGCACATACGCAGTAAAGGAGGAGAAACTTTGTGTCTTGAACTGCGTGGGAAACTGGTCATTCCTGAAACTCTTTGGAATTCGTTTTGAATTATGAAATATATTTAGGATAAAATGAGCAAAATTAATGAGTAAATCAGTTTTAGTGAATAAAATGTGTTACTTTTCCAGGCAACAAAACATTGTAATTTCTTTACGGTGCTGTTCCATGCAGGAGAAAGATTAATTTGACTTCACAAAAAAGTCAGCCATGTTTATGAGAAGAGAAAGGAAGAGGATTTAGTACATTCTCTGCTTCTGTCTGAACTTCTTAACTTCTATCTAGAAGTTGTGAATTATGTCTTTCTTACTGGATTAGCTACAAATAAAAGAGAGTGTGGAATCAGTATAGATAGAAGTATGAAGTATTGCTATAAAGTAGTGAAATTACTTCTACTCCCGTGGTCATGTTCCTTACCATTAAGACAGACCATGAATGCATTGGGTCATCCGGACAGTCTCAATGTAATTTTCTATGCAAAAATGTGTCACGACTTTTCCATTGTTCCAATATATTAAATTTTTAAAGTCCCATAAGGTTATTTTTTAAATATGCAATATATTCGTTAGTTTTAGGTGGTCATCCAACAAATGTAATACATGAATATTTAAAACATTAAATCTGTTTACATCTGTGCAATCAATTTAAAATGTTGCAAATATCCTTTCTCTCCTTGCTTGATTCCTCATGTGAGAAATTTCTCAAAATTGTAAGGTTAGAGGAAGAGACTACTACCCCCTTTACCTTGCTTCTCTCCACATTCATATTTACTCAAAAGGAGATCGCGACTTTGTTGCTGTAGTTTAATGTTTTGCATTTCTTCATTGAGGATGTCAATTTTTAGAGCCCCCAAAATGTTTATATACATCTTTGAGAATTTTAAGAAACAGAACATGGAGAAAGTTATGCCCACAGATGTCCACAGTAGTATTACTCATAGCAGAAAAGTTAGAATGTACCTAAATAGGGAATTTATGGTGTATTTAATAAGTAGAATATTATGTAGCCTTTCAGAAGTTTATGGGAGGGGCCAGTAGGTGGCATGATAGTTAAGATGCTAGACTCCCACATGACTGACCACAGTTCAAGTCCCAAATCTGGTAGCTTGCTTTCTCACTTTTCTCTTTCTCTCTCTCTCTCCCTCCCTCTCTCTCTCTTTCTCTCTCTCTCTCTCTGTCTCTCTGGTGAGCACATGTGCCCTATAGCCAACTTTGAAAAAAATAAATTATTTTTTAAAGAGTTGTTTATGGGAAATACATAGAATGTTTGCAATATAGTGTGAATGGGGGGAGAAAAGCAGAACCTGTATGCACATGGTAATGCCTTCTGAAATGTTTTTCTTTGCCAGCCGGTGCTTGTATTGGCCAGAAGGAAAGAGAAAGTACTCCCCTAGTGATGTATGGTCATGTCATAGTCTCTTCTTCATTTCCCCGTCCTATCAGGATTTAGGGCACACATGCACTCACAATGCGCAGGTTTTTCAAGCCACCCAGAATGGGATTCAAACTTTGGTTGGCCATGTGGGATCTGGCTCCCTTAGTGACTAGTCTAGCCCAGTTCTGCCTTTTTGGGGGGGGAGGGTTTGCTATAGGGCACGTGCACTCGCCAGAAAGACAGAAAGCGAGAAATCACCACCACCACCACCACCACCACCCACCAGGGGAGATGGCCACGCAGCAGTCCCTTTTGCTCCATTCTCCTCTTGGGATCTTGGACACATACGCACACTTGCCCAGCATGAGTTTAAGCCACCGGGTCCAGGACGCGAACTGCGGTTGACTATGTGGGAGTCCAGCACCTTAACCACCATGCCAACTGCTGGTCCCCAATTCTACATTTTTTATTAAATAAATACGTACTACTTTTGTGTAAAAGAAAGTAATCAACCTCAGAGACATGGAAAAAGTGCCCATTTATTATTTTATTCTGAATAAAACATTGCTGACTTCCATTTTGGCATTGATTCTTATTGTCATCAAATTATTAAATATTGATCAAGTACTATAATAAATAAATAGCCGAGTTATTTTTAAAAAACAGTACTGTAGGAAAGAGACACGTTTTCTTCATAACTTAGTGGTTAAGGGAGTTGGATTCCATGTGGCTGACTAGTTTGGATCTTGGAAGTGGCCCTAGAAGCTCAAATAACATGCTGGGCCCCCATGTTCATACGTGTCAAAAAATTGCAGCAAGATAAGAGAAATTGAGAAGGAATTGCTGGTGACCATATCCCACTGTGGGGGGGTAGCAATTAAAAAGAAAGATTGTACAGAATGAGGTGAGTTGGATGGTGTAATTTTGTTTAAATATGAGAAAATTAATTCACAACTATTTTAAGTTTCATATCTTCATGTAAAATAGTATACTCAAGTATTTTCTTTGCTTATATTTAAATACTTTAATTTTCCTCTGTTAAAAGAATTTTTTTGATAATAAGTAAACAGTACATTGTTCTGACTCTTGAATCCATAGGGGTTTCCTGCAGAATTTGCTATGTACTTAAACTATTGTCGTGGGCTGCGCTTTGAGGAAGCCCCGGATTACATGTATCTGAGGCAGCTATTTCGCATTCTTTTCAGGTTGGTCTATAATGTATTTTAAAGACTATCAATTCTGTGAGAGAAATTGGTAAAATGCATGTAATATACCTATGCTACTAGGTAGTAAACTAAAGCAGTCCTAACCAATATGAGTAACAGTTTCAAGAAACTGGGTTATTTGAGGGTCACTTGAGGGTTTTCTTCATTTTGAAATACTTGAGATGTGGTTTTATTTTGAGATAATGGAAAGTGGAATCTACCTTTGCTAAAATAATTGCAGTTCATATTAAATAAAAGTGACTGTCAGTGCCTTAGGGAAATCTCCAACTTCGGTACATAACCCTATTCAATACTAAATTAAAAAGCAATTAAAATGTCAGATAGTTATGAAATCTGGAGTCTTTAAAAATGTGGAAAAAGTTTCAGACTAGGAATAGGACTTAAGTTGGTCTCAAACAATGGGAGTTAGGGTAGGGCAGGCAGGCAGAATATATATATATATAACTAAAACTCTTAGAAGAGAATAAGAATAAAAGGACTCTTTCTTTTTTTAATGAACTTTTTAAGTTTAATTTTATTTGTTCATTTATTTTAATTTGACTAGAGACAGAGGGAGACAGAGAAAGGGGAAAAGTGAGAAAGCAAGCCACCAGGTCCAGGACTTGAACCATGGTCAGCCATATGGGAGTGTCCAGCGCCTTAACCACCATGCCACCTGCTGGTCCCTCAAAGGACTCTTTTAACCCCAGAAAAATCTTCCCAAGTCACCAGCGTGGACATCTGTATCACAAATTTCCAGTTCTTACTTAACTCTTATTTTTTCTAGAAAGCACCTCCTTTTATGAGTACCCTCCTAAGATAACTCACAACTTGCTGTTTTCGTTTTTCTTGCTGCATGTTCATTTCCACTTACCTGTCCCTTTTCCAGAGAAGTTTAAGAGAAGCTACTGTTTTAAAAGAGAGGAGTTATTTTTTTCTAGTATAACAGACTAGAGCGATGATATCATTTTTATCATGTCTCTGAGAAAGTGCCATGTTAAAAAGTGAAAATATTTCATTGAACCGTTACTTTAAAAATCATACGGAGGGAAATCTTTTAAGAAAGCTACCATACTTAAGGATAATATTCATGTTCTAAAGAAATGCTCTCATTGCCTTGAATAATCAGTGGAGCCTGGACTCTTGTTTATTAAAGAACTAACATACAATTTTATATTTTCTAGGACCCTGAACCACCAGTATGACTACACATTTGATTGGACAATGTTAAAGCAGAAAGCAGCACAGCAGGCAGCCTCTTCCAGTGGGCAGGGTCAGCAGGCCCAAACCCCCACAGGCAAGCAAACTGACAAAACCAAGAGTAACATGAAAGGTTAGTAGCCAAGAACCAAGTGACGTTACAGGGAAAAAAATTGAATACAAAATTGGGTAATTCATTCATTTCTAACAGTGTTAGATCAAGGAGGTGGTTTTAAAATACAAAAAAATTCGGCTCTATTTAAAAAAAAAAAAAGACGTCCTTGGAAAATTTGACTACTAACTTTAAACCCAAATGTCCTTGTTCATATATATATGTATATGTATTTGTATATACATATATGTGTGTATTATTATATCATTTCTCTTGGGATTTTGGGTCATTTTTAACAACTGCATCTTTTTTACTCATTCATTAACCCTTTCCAAAATAAATATTTGGTGTTGGGAATATAGTATAATCAATCAATCCAAAATCCTAGACCTAACACTTGTTGATTTTTAATAATGAATCTGGTTAGCTGTGGTATTTTGACTTTCTTTCAACTAACAGTGTTAAGAAATTTTTTTTGCATGTGAATGTTTTAGCCTTTAAAGTGGAACATTGTGAACATGATCTAGTTTCAGGAGGTGAGTCTTGGCATTGTTCCCCCAAGTGTCTCTCCCTCAGCTGCAGAGATCTCTTTTACTCTGAAATGCTCATATAACTGCAAAACTCAACCATCTTTCAGAGTCACAAAAATACCTCTCTCTTACTATTTAACTGCATATGTTCTTAATTTCAGAGGAATGATTCATTTGTTTTGTCTGTTTAAAAAAATCTTGCAAACATTAGGGGTTTAAAAAGGAATGGAAGTCTGCAGTTGGGTCTTGCAGAAATGAAGAGAACTGGGGCAAATGCCATGGATCTGCTAGTCTGTTTCCTTTGTCTCTCGGGGAGTAGAACTGTTGGGGCACAGCTCCATTACTAGCGCTGTTGCCATACAGTTCAGCTCCCGTTTGTACATGAGTTTCCTTTTCTGCTTTCTGGAGCTCAGCTCCTATTACCTGCCTACTTTCTGGAAGCTGTAGGCAGGTAAAGTTTGGTTTTTGGTTTCTAATTATTGAATTTCTGAATGACTGCTCTAGTCTGAACTTGACCTTCATAGGTCCACACTTTTCGTGTATGTAGACAATTTTTTTATTTAAAAATAGATTGTAACCTGAGTATACTTTTCAAGAAATATACTTAACTGATGTCATCCTCATCCCAGCTGCTCATTTATTAGATTTAAGTTGAGGTGCTTCCCTTACCTGTTTCTTTATTTGGGAAGGTCTGGATGTTGAAGGTTTAATATGATAGGGGTCCTGGGTGTTAAGCTCAAGGTAGCAAACACTTGTGCTTGCCCTGTGCTCTGCTTCTGTATCCCAGTTGGGACGTAATTGCCTCTTTTTAGTGTTTTAATCACTGTATTACTAAATTATACTGCCAGGAAGGTCCTAACGAGTAATTCGCTAGTAGTGCCACTGAACAAAAAACGATCTTACCTTTTAGGTAAGGTATTGTTTCTAAACTGAAAGCTTGGTATACTTGACACCTGTAGTGTAGTCATTTGTTCTCACATAATGAAACTGATTTTTTTTGTGTAAAGCTAGCTGGGATAATAGGATCATCATGAGTTGCAATTTCTAGAACTAAAATTAGATTGAAATCTCATCTGACCTAGAATATTTCATTTCAGGCATTCAGCAGCCTTCAGAAAGAATACCTTATTTATTTTAAGCCAGTTCCTTTGTTAGTTTACTATGTGTGTCCTTCTCAATAAACAAGCAGAATTTTTGTCCTGCTTTATTCAGGTCTTAAAGATGAGAAGTTGGATCCACTGAGTTAGTATGTTTCCTTGGGAAAAAAAAATTGTAATTAAACTTTAAGTTTAATCCTTACTTTGTATTGTAGCTATTTTTCATTTAAAAAAAAAAACTTAAAATCTTAATGGTTTTATAGCGTTGTTAGACTCAGTAATCATTACATGGAATTTTAAAATTGTGAAAAATTACACTTTTCATAAAATGCATCATGTATCATTGACCATGTTCAAAGGTGCACTTCCAGGCAATGCATTTTGATATCAAGTAAAACTTGCTCCTGAAATGTGCTACTTTGCAGAATACAAACAGTAAAATCAGTTTTGCTCTTTGACTTCTTGAAGACATTGTTGGGTCATCAGAAAAGTCATGATGCATTTTTGCATAGAAAAAAATACATCCTGGCTTTTCCAACAAAACCCGATGTATTATTTTGGAAACAGAGCTTTGTGCCCAAAACAAATCTTAGAATAAACCTCTTACCAGCCATAGCTGGTGGGAGGGTTGCATGAAATAAGCATGAAGAACCTATTTCTCTAACATCTGCCTCTACCCTATTATCTGGATCATTCCTTAAAGAATCCAGGAAGTCAGTAATTTGAAAACAACTGCTCTAGGTTATTCCTGATTCCAATTTTTTACATAATAAGGATGTTTAAAAAGCATAGCCTCTCAAGGTCTACTCACTATGGTAGGTTATTTAATTTAAGGAATAACTCTTTCAGCCCAATAATTCACTGAGTTCAAGAAATTCTTTCAGTAATGATAAAAACACATTACATCTTTCTAGTTAAAAATTTCAAAATGTGCTTTTATATGTTGTATTATTTGTCCTTCATGGATTTATATTTTCAGAGGTTTTGCATCTTCAGTGAATTTGTTTCATAATTAATGTGCAGCAAGTAGATCTGTGTTACAAGAACATCTGTTTCTAGAAAAATTCTCATAATAGTGGCATTCACTAATGTATTTTATGTGGTTATTTTTGAAAAAAATGTATAATATTTCTTCCATGGAAAATTACAGTAAGTTATTTTAGCAATTTACTCAGAATATCCAGAGGCTTTAAATTTTGGCTTATTTAGCTAATGAGGATTTACTACATAATAGGCAGAGTTTTGTCCTGATTACGTTTCTTTACATCTTTTCAAGTACTCCCATTCAAAACCATAAAAAAGGCTAAGAACTTAGCAAGGCTTTTTGCCTAAATGTTTATTACGATCTGTATTAGTTTTTCAGTGCTCAAGTACCACAAAATTATAAATTGTGAATTTATTATTTAATTGTGGGCACAGGTGGGGAGAATTCAGGAGACAGTGAGGCCACAGGTTGGATACTTACATGATTCTACTCTTCTCTACTCTCAGGATTTTAACCCTTTTGTTCACTACCCCAGCAAGGGGTACTAAGCATAGCTTTATCGTAATATAGATGAATGTCAAGTTGTTGACATTCAAAGGAGATTAAAAGTTTTTGTTTTTTTTTTTTTTACATTAAAATGCTTACTATTATATCCATGGTCTTCCTTGGAATACCTTCCAATATTTACTGGGCTTCAGCTACCATATATGTCTAGCTTAACTTTTTCTGACTTCACCAATTGCTGCTAGGAATGGGGCTGGTCACTCAGCAACGTAACCCAAATCACAGGGGAAGACCTTGATATTTCTGGAGAGACTGATCTGCTCTGAATACACTCAGTCCAAAGAAGTACCAGGGAACTGCATCTGCTTGCTGAAATCTTGAATTTTTGTCAGCTCTTTTCACTGTGGACAGTAAAGCTGGAGAGAAAAGAAACTGAGTAACCCACCAGGAAGTGAACACGAGTACAGGAGTTGGTTTGTGCTGATCTGAAGCCCACATCTCTAAATCTTGCTGGACCTACCAAACTTCTCACCTTGTCAGATTGTATGGATGATACAACTGTCAGAAGATCTCCAGGAGTATAATGAAGCTGTAACTCTGCATTGTATAATGCAGACCACCTACCACTTGGGGAAGGAGTCAGTTGTGACAGGTATTTTAAAACATGGCAACCCCATAAATTTACAGCAGTGTGTATTCTGTAATAGGGAAGGCAAAAGAAGTTCAGATCATCTTTTTAAATTCAGTTTAGGGAAGATATGTATCTGCTCTACAAAAATTGATATCCAAATCATTTTGTAGTGATAGATTTTTTTCTTTTTTTAGGATTTGCCATAGGGCAAATGTATTTACCAGAGAGAGAGACACAAAGGGGGAAGTGAGAAGTCACACCTCAAGGGGATGGCCATGCTGCAGTCCCTTCTCCACTCTCCTGTGACTTTGAGCACACATGCACACACACTTGGTGTGATTTTTCAATCTTCCAGGTCTGGGACTCAAACCATAGTTGGCCATGTGGAGTCCTGCATCTTAACCGCCATGCCACCTGCTGACCCCATGATAAAGTATTTTATCTTTTCCAGTTCAATGCTGTTGTATCTAGAGGGAAGGAGAGGTTATCATCCTTTTGGGGGACCAGGAGGTTCTTTTTACTTTATACTACCAATCTGATTCAGAATTCTCCAAGTTTAATTCTGTACAACCAGAAGAACCACACAAGCATGTTCATATACATGACGTTGCGTAGTGGACAGTATATTCAGAATGACATTTTTTTTTTTTTAAGGTTTTTGCCATTAGTGCATGTGTTCACTGGAGAGACAGAAAATGAGAGCTCACCCCCCAGGGAGATGGCCACATTGCAGTCCCTTTTCCTCCATTCTCCTCTTTGGAGTTTGGACACATGCCCGATCTGAGTTTCAAGCCACCAGGTCTAGGACTTGAACTGGATGGTTGGCCATGTGGAAGTCCATTGCCTTTAACTACCACACCACCAGCTGGTTCTTCAATATAACTTTTTAAGAAGTTATATCTTATACTATGAAAGGATTCTTAATTTCAGAAGCCCATCACAAACTTACAACAAGCCTTACTATTACATCAATATCCCACTGAACTAGTTTCTTGGTTCTATTAAAATAAGGGACAGTTGAAATTACTTCACAGATAACAAATGCATAGTTTTTAGATTTCAGCTTGAGGGATAGAATCTCCTTGTTAACTGTATAAAAAAACCTTTTTTTCCTTTAGCAGATTGGAAAAGAAATCTGTGAATGTGTCTCTTAACTCCTGAATCGGATTAGTCCTTCAGCCCTATTTTTAACGTTTTTCTCTCTCCCCCTTTTTTTCAGGCACAAAGGAATTCATCCCTCCTTTTAACTGATGTTAACACCAAAGATGGATTTCTTGAACTTTTAGAAGCCAAGAAATACTACCCTGTCTGCAAGATAAAGACCAAGGACTAATGTACACTGGGAGAAAGAATACTTAACTACTTGAAGATTGAATGTCAAATGCCTGCTTGAATATTCCTGTTGAGATTTTTTCCTAAACAAACTTTAGTGACATCTTAGAACAGTTCATTGGAGAAACGTTGATCCTTGGGTGGAGTGTCCTACCAGTGGCCCATTTGAAGAGTAAAATGTGGATTTGACTGCTCTTTTCTACAGGAATATTGTTAGGCTAGCCATTAATGAGTCTATAAACACTTGTAATCACAAACTGGGCCAGCAGTTCCCCAAATACCATATTAAAGGATGAACAGATAAAATTCGTACCTAGAGTTGCCCTATTAAAGAGTTTTTTAATGTTTGACTGCCAATGTAACTTATGTTTCCTTTATAATTTCTTACTGACTAGTTTTTTTTCATTTGATATACTCAGCATAACAATCAAATTATTTACTATGTGGTTATATAACAAGCTATGATAAAACCCAATAATGTTAGTACTTGTGAGAACGTGTTTCTTTTTATCATGTTTACAAGTAATTGCAGGACTTCAAATCATGATGGAGTATGGGACATTTCTGTTATCCATATTTTCTTTACCTGCATAGCTTCTTATTCAGTGTTCTGAAATTGGAACTACTAGTCACAGAATATAATCAGATATTTTAATTTAATTGGGGCTTAGTTTGATGGTCTCTCTTTCTGTGTACCTTGCTAATCCTATTTAATATGTACCAGATGATATTTTCCGTGTAGTGAAGTACATTCTCGAATATTTGTTATCTTTCATTTTTGACATTTTCTTCCTGTAGGCTTACTCAGGCAACAAAATTCTATTTTGTACCAATTCTGTTCTGTCTCTTTGGAAAGAAGTAACATAGTTATATCCTTGTCCTCAAGCTTAGCACAGTATGAAGGTCTTCCAAAAGTTCATGGAAAATAGGTGTTATGAAGAAATTATGAAGAATTATGAAGAAATTGTAGTTTAATCACATTTTTCCACCAATTTTTTGAAGACTCCATACTTATTAAACGAATGAAGACCTTTTTTTGCCAAATTAAAATGGTTCTGGTTGGGCCATCCTGGAGCCTCGTGGTTAAGGCTGCTGGATCCCACATGACCAACCACGTAATTCAAATACAAGACCTAGCAGTTTGAGAAATATGGCAAGTACATGTGCATGTGTGCCAAAAACCCCTTAAGAGAGAGAAGGAAAAGGGATTGCAGCTTGACCATATCCCATAGGGGATTTTCTCATTTTTTCTCCAGTTAGTGCATGCACCCTCTGGCAAATGTTTCTTTTAAAGTGTCCTCAGTTAATACATGAGGGATTATCTGCCAAGAAATTATGTTTGGTGTCGTTTTCAAAAAAGGCATGCATTCATTAAAAAATATATAATGAGAATATTTCTTTTATCACATGAAGCCTGTAAGGAGATGGTCCATAAATATTTGAGAAGTAAAGAGCAGTCTGTGATTGACAGCATGGTTTGTACTAAAGAAGTGCCAGTAATCACAGTGGGCTAAAAGTGAGCTATAATTCAGTTACAGTTTGGATGGAGGTGGGTAAAGGAGCATTTATGCCTCAGAGCAGCTATAGGTGAGAGGAAAAGGTGCTTATGAGATTGTTAGGTTATTGCTAAGAGGTAGGCATGTTCCTATCTTTGCTGCTAGCCACAAATAGTCTACAGCTGTTGTGATCTGAAGGCTTGTATTCAAACCTGACTTTGTGTTGAAGCTGTAGGTCTGTCTACTTTGGGGGGGGACAAAGGGATTATGTGTGACTGGGTGAAGTAAAGTTTTAAAAGTCTTATCTAGAATTTATGTACAGAAATCATACACTTCTCAGGTCTGTTAGGTGGAATAATTCAGATAACTGCTGTGAATAAGTTTATTATTAACGTGTAACCTTTCCTGCTTTGTATCACAAATAATATGCAGAAGAATTTGTGTTAATAGGGTTAAAGTTGTGCTCTTGTTATGAAAGCGGAGACGTTTTTCCCCCATTCTATCTTGACAATTGTGTGCTGAGTGTTGAGTGTCACTGTATACTAGTCCTTTCTATTGTCATTGAAAACAAAATTTTGTTTTCAGTTTGTCAGGTTTTAAAAATTGAACTAGTGATTGTCAGGATAAAAATAACAGGCACTGTAAAGTAATGATTAGTCCAGTTCCACCCAGTTTACCTATATTGGGTGAAGTTTTTAAAAGAAAAATTTTAACTTGGAATTTTAACATTCTTTTTTGTTTGTTTTGGTTTTTGACAGGTTTCTAAGCATGAATTGAGGAACAGAAGAAGCAGAGCAGATGATCGGAGCAGCATTTGTTTCTCCCCAAATCTAGAAATTTTAGTTCATATGTACACTAGCCAGTGGTTGTGGACAACCATTTACTTGGTGTAAAGAACTTACTTTCAGTATAAACTGGCTCTGGACAGTATTGGTGATGCTGTATCCCGAGTTATAGCCGCTGTAATTGTGAATATTAACTGAGATAGTGAAATATGGTGTCCGGTTTTCTATTGCATTTTTTCAAGTGGAAAAGTTTAATGGTTGACACACAAATTGGTGGAGAAATTGTGCATATGCCAATTTTTTGTTAAAACCTTTTATTTTGAACTATACTGCTTTGAGATCTCATTTCAGAAGAACGGCATGAACAGTCTTCAGCCACAGTTGTGATGGTCGTAAATGCTCACAATTGTGCATTCTTAGGGTTTTTCCATCCCTGGGGTTTGCAAGTTGTTCACTTAAAACATTCTTAAAAAGGTTGGCTTCTTGTCTGCAAGCCAGCTGATATGGTAGCAACCAAAGATTCCAGTGTTTGAGCATATGAAAGACTGCCTGCTTACCTGTGCTAGAAATAACAGCATCTAAAGTGAAGACTTAAGAAAAACTTAGTGACTACTAGATTATCCTTAGGACTCTGCATTAACTCTATAATGTTCTTGGTATTAAAAGCAAAAGCATATTTGTCACAGAAATTTAGTTAACATCTTACGACTGAACATGCAGTATATTGCTTAGTTAAATGTAATCAATGTAAACACCTATATGATCTGGGGATTTTGTTTTTATTTTCAAATGGGAGTTTTTTGTTTACATGTTTATTAAAAACTAAAAACTGTTTCTGTAAAAATAAAAAAGAACAGAACTCAATGAGATTCAAAAGAAAACAACCAATTTCAAGAGATAAGAAAATCATTCCATGACACGAAGAAGGAAAGCTATAAAGAGATAGGTCTCTTAAAAATCAAACAAAACTTCTGGAGATGAAGAATGTAATACAGGACATTGAAATCTGTCTCAAAACTATTAATAGCACTGGATTATTATCTGCTGATGATAATGTGTATAGTATCCTCAACTGGACTGGTGTAAAGTATATTCATATTGAGAGAAATCACTTTACAAGCCAAGTGATTATAGTGATTACATATATTGAAGAAATTTTTTAAAATACTATTAATGGTATATTATGCCAAAAGAACATTTTTTCAAGTGGAAAAGTTTAATGGTTGACACACAAATTGGTGGAGAAATTGTGCATATGCCAATTTTTTGTTAAAACCTTTTATTTTGAACTATACTGCTTTGAGATCTCATTTCAGAAGAACGGCATGAACAGTCTTCAGCCACAGTTGTGATGGTCGTAAATGCTCACAATTGTGCATTCTTAGGGTTTTTCCATCCCTGGGGTTTGCAAGTTGTTCACTTAAAACATTCTTAAAAAGGTTGGCTTCTTGTCTGCAAGCCAGCTGATATGGTAGCAACCAAAGATTCCAGTGTTTGAGCATATGAAAGACTGCCTGCTTACCTGTGCTAGAAATAACAGCATCTAAAGTGAAGACTTAAGAAAAACTTAGTGACTACTAGATTATCCTTAGGACTCTGCATTAACTCTATAATGTTCTTGGTATTAAAAGCAAAAGCATATTTGTCACAGAAATTTAGTTAACATCTTACAACTGAACATGTATGTATGTTGCTTAGATAAATGTAATCACTGTAAACATCTATATGATCTGGGATTTTGTTTTTATTTTGAAATGGGAGCTTTTTGTTTACAAGTTCATTAAAAACTAAAAACTGTTTCTGTAAGGAAATGAGATTTTTTTTAAACAAAAAAATGCCTTGCTGACTCACTATGAAATAAAAATCTCAATTTTTTTGATAGACTACTTCAAGCCATTTGTTACATGATATTTCTTTGCAAATCAACTTAGATTTAGTGTGATTACTTTTCTTTTTTTTTTAATTTTAAAATAATTTTTTTTTTGTCTGAAGTGGAAAGGCATTCTTTCATTTTTCTTTTTTAATGACTTGCAGGCACAATACCTAGTGATGCTACTGCCAGAACTTGGTATTGTCACCTGCTACTGATGACTAACAGCTGGACTGATTTTGAATAAGTGTAGAAAGCATTAAAGGGTTTGACTACAAAACAGTTTTCCTTAAAATTCTTGTGAGATGGCTATAAGCAGTTGAGCTTACCATCGGAGAGCATCAGACTATGAGAGGCTCCAGGAATTGGTGGCCCTTCCCAGCCCCCACCTGCTTCTATAGGTTCTCAGTGTGTGCGCGCTTCCTCTCAAATCTTGTGCGCTCCTTTTTTTCTGACCCAAGAGAAAGGAAAACATACTGACAGTAATTCTTTAAATAGTGTAATTTATTCATTTTTAGCATGTCAGAATAAATTAAAGAGAACATTATCTGAAAATGCTGCCGAGATCCTATTGTGTAAATGTGGGTGTTTTGTAAAACAGCCTTGAAACTGTTTGACACATGTTTGGTCAGATTGTGTCAGGTTTAATTTGTTTTCATTTTCTTTTCTTTTTTATTTTTTCCTTGAAAACCACTTAGCAATAATCAATTCCATTGTTACCACATCCTGCCATTAAGATATTTATTAGCACCATAATCCTGAACAAATCTTACCAAGTCTGAACTTTTAGGGTAGGCAGCTTCTTTGTTTCTTTTTTATCCTCCCTTGTCAGTTTTAAGGTATTTGTTTCTTGACTAATAAACCCTTTGATACTTTTAGCCTGAAATCAGTCTCATAAAGCTATTTTTGAGTATAGTTTGTGTAAAATAAAAACGTTTAGCTTTGGTAATAACTTTTCCAAGCTGAACTCCCTCTAGCAAGATATTTTTCAGTGCTTTTATTTACTATGCACTTAGACTATGCACTTTTTCTGAAATATTTTTGTAACACTTTTTTGTATTTTTGCCATTTGAAAAGGTTGTGGTGTTAGTTGGTCTGTAATTAAGTTGCAGATTTAAAACTGCTGTTAGCTTTGTAAATCAAAATATAGGTGTTTTTGTCCTGGTATATTGTCATTCCGTCTGCAGCTGGAGCTGGAATCCCTTT